AAGAACTGAACTAAAGAACTAAACCAAAGAACTGAACTGAAGAACTGAACTAAACCAAAGAACTGAAGAACTGAACTAAAGAACCAAACTAAATAACTGAACTGAAGAACTGAACTAAAGAACTGAACTATAGAAATGAACTAAAGAACTGAAGAACTGTACTAAAGAACTGAGGCTAAAGAACTGAGGGGAGAAATAACTACAACTGTTTTGTAAAACTTTTATCTTTTTTTCCCATCATGTCATGTAAAAGAAAGATGGACACACACACAGTCACAGTGTGGGAGGTAACAAGCATGAAATGGAGTCGATTTGTGACTGATGTGAAAAAAGAGCTGAGTTTTTATTATTTAATGAGGAGAGTCCTGAGAGGAGTGGCAACACACACACACACACAAGCACACAAATATTCTAAACCTACAGTATTTGTGTGCTCAGGTTCATAATTTTTTTTATTAAAAAAAAAAGTCAATTTTGCCAAAGACAAAATTTTTGCAACAAGTCATTGTTTTTCTGCCTGATCCTCAGATATGCTGTAACTGACACCTTCATTAAATGTTTAGAGGTGTCTGGTTTTCACCACTGTGAGTGTGTGAGTGTGTGTGAGTGTGTGTGTGTGAGAGAGAGAGAGAGATAGCTGAGTGAGATTGTTACCGCACACCTTTATAATTCAGCAGCTATTTGGTCGTTTAGGAAAAACAAAAGGCACAAGGAAAAAGCACGAAGAGCAAGAGAATCACCATCACCATGAACTTCATAAGTAATAAATCATCTCTTCGAGAGAAAGGCTTCAACGTCATGACTTCATTTTTTTTTTTTTTTTTTTTACTGAAAATCTTTACTCGATGAGATGTTGTCTATGTTGTAGAACCCAAAAAGATAAAAGATTAGAGGATAAAAACGTATTTATAACAAAAAGGAGATGAAAAAAAAAATCCCATAAATATTTGTTAACCTGTCAAATACCTACGTGTGTTGATTAGAGACAAAGTCAAGACTTAATAAGAGAGAAATGTGAAAGTAAAGTTAATAATCTGCAATAAAAAAGGTAATTTTCCATCAGAGTGCAGTTTTCCTGGACAACTTTACATAAAACTATATTTAAAAATACTTTATGGTGACCTTTTTTTTTTCTAGAGACTTCCATGCATATGGCATACTGGACGTAAGTGTACCACTGCTGTAATGATTGAATGATAACAAGCCTCCAGTCACTAGGTGGCAGCAACTCATACAGTGGTTTCAATACCCAGGGATGTGGACTGAGAGAGAGAGAGAGAGAGAGGAGCGTGAAAACATTTTCTGTCCCCAAGGGGGAGCATGACAGAATATAATTGAGACCCACTTGGTTTAAACACGTCATACTGTACATGATTAAGGGCTGTGGTGCCACCTGGTGGCCATAAACTATATTTAGACTAGGCCTGTTAATAAATATGTAAATATTTATCTATCTAAAGTATATATACCTGGCCAACTAATTTACATATGTCTGTATATCTATCTAACACAGGCATGGGCAAACTAAGGTCCGGGGGCCGGATGCGGCCTGTTCATCTTTTTAATCCAGCCTGCCAAACATTTTCCAAATGATATAATTTATTTATATTTTCAATATACTTCTGCATTTTCTCTGCAATACCACATTTTCCCAATAGATGGCGTAGAAAATGATAAAAGCATTTTAGCATTTTAGCCTTAATGCATGACTTTTCGTCCCCTCTGATCAATTTTAGGACAATTGTGGCCCACGTCTGATCTAATATATATATATATGGTAATATTCTGCTCTAACATTTGGTTATAATACACTGTACATGCTATTATATTCTGCTGGAACTGTTTATACATGTGTACTTAGTTAACTGTTTAAATACTTTTTTGTGTTTATACATAATATAGAAAAATGTTTAAACAACTGTCAAATTATAATACCATAGAGATAATACAGTGTACCACAGTACAATATGCACTGAACTCTTAATAACAACAATGCACATAACTATAACAGTCCATGCACTGTTTCAGGGGGTTTTCTTTATTTCTTTCCCTGTTGTGCTGCTGTTCTTATATTGTATTACTTTAGCCTTGTGTTTTTATGGTGCTGTACTGCTACTGGATCCTTAATATGTCTTAATAAGTCGGACTGAAGAGGTCCATCGTAAAGCAGAGCAGGTGACCAGGCTTGATTTAACCTAGTGGGTGCTTAAATCACCCGAGGGTCACAAGTCACTGTTGACATTAAGAGAAAGTCGCCCAGATTAGTATCTTTGCCCCTAAATGGCAGGGGAGTGGACTCGAGTCGCATGACTTGGACTCGAGTCGGACTCGAGTCATCAATTTGATGACTTTAGACTCGACTTGACCAAATGTAAAGAGACTTGCAACTCGACTTGGACTTTAATTAATTAATTAATGACTCGTGACTTCACTTGGACTCGAGCCCTTTGACTCGACAAGACTTGATACTTTCTCCAAAACCCAAAGTGATCTGTGTAAATACATTATTGTTTTATTTAAAAGGACTCGAAACAGAAACGTAAGGACTTGGGACTTGACACTTTTCAGTCTTGACTTGGACTCGACTCGGACTTTGCCTGTCTTGACTTGAGACTTGACTCGGACTTGAGTGCAAAGACTTGAGACTTACTTGTGACTTGCAAAGCAACGACTTGGTCCCACCTTTGCTGAATGGTGATGAAATGACCCCCCGGCAGGCTTGGCCTACCTCTAGCACAGTTCAAGGACCTGAGGACAGCTTCATATAACCAGGCTGAACAGTGAGAGAGAAACGGCTGCCGGTGAATGCCATTCTGACAGGTATGGTAAACTGTGAGGACGCCAGTCAACAATCTACTGTTAAAAGTGTTCAAGTTTGATCCAGTTGACATCACGCCAGAACAGAACAGTCTTCTAAGTCACTTCTACTAAGTTTGAACAGATTTATTTACATGATACAATTTATTCTGTATTAATGGAAGATAAAGCACACTGCTGTGTATAAATAAAGAGGTTTGTACGAACTCACATAACTAAAGTGTAAAAAAAAAAAAAGTTTTTTTTTTTAAAAAGGACAACACAAGAAGCAAAAAAAAAAAAGAATGAATAATCCATGACTTTCACAAGGTTCACTAATCGCTAGACACACGCGCACGCAGTAGACGCCCCCCCCCCCCTGCCCTTACTGTGAATAAACGTATCAGATCATTATAAAAAGGAGTAGAGATTATTAAACAGTGAAAATAGAACTAAAGGGAAAAAAAAAAAAAATGGAGTTAAAATCAAACAGGCTGCTCATCATCATCATCATCACCACCACAACACAGTCAACTCTATCAACTAATTCGCTTTTAATTGTAAATAGAAAAAGAATTGAACGGCACAGGTCAGGTGACACCTGTGGTCATGTGACTGTTTCAGTGGATTTTGTTTTGATTTGATTTTTTTTTTTTAAATAAAGTCACAGCATTAAATCTAATCTAAAGAAACGGATGAGATTTTTTTTTAAAAACTTTTCCTGTACGTGCTCGCCCTGCAGACAGACAGACGGACGGACGCACACACATACACACACGTACACTGTCAAACAAAAAAAAAAAACAGTCTCTTTAAATTAAGGCCAGTGTTGACAGGACACTGGCAGCATGAAAAGCATTCATTCACATCATTCAGACCAGCTCAGACAAAACACACACACACACACACACACACAGGTAACGACAATGTGCCGCTTTGCTACTCAAGCCAGCAGAGAGCAAGCACGGCAGAGACATCCCATCGGCCCAGAGCAGTAACAGTCACGAGTTCTAACGCTGAAGTCTGCAGCTGACTGGACCCCTTTTCAATGGTAGAGGACAGGGGTCAAAAGGTGAGGTTTCTCTAAAACTGGACTCTGCAGCACCTTAAAAAAACCAGTTCATGACCAAATCACAAGGTTGAAACGAGAGCGAGTGCCGATGAAGCGACCGTAGCGCCTGTACTGAAAGCTACACTGAGACAACGTCAACAAATATGGCACCGGATGTGCCGCAGTTTTGAGGAGCGTCCACTGGATCTACACCGAGCTGTTCTCTTAACCATTGGCGAGCTAACATCAACATGCTCAAAGCTACATGTTAGCATTGGGGGAAACAAT